TTATCTCACCAACAGCTTTTAGGATCTTCTGTTTGTCCTCATTCCTGCCAAATAAAGCTCTGTACTGGTTTCTACCACCATAGATTACTTGAATGTCATATAAATGAACTCATACAATGCATACTCTTTTCTGTCTGACTTCGTTTGATAATATTTTTGACATTCATCTAGTTGAATCTCTATTAGTAGTTCATGTCTTTTTATTGATTAGTAGTGTTATTTTTATGAATATACCACAATTTGTTTATCCATTCACCTGTCGATAAAAATTTGGGTTCCTTCCAGCTTTGGGCTATTATGACATTATAGTGGATGGTTTAAACACCTTTATATAAGGCATTTTGTTCAATTCACTTTTAAATCACTCAAGAGAGAACAATCTGAGAGAAGCAAACATCAACAAAATCTGCAAAAAATATAAAATATTATGTATCTATTATTGTAGAAACACACAGATCATCTCAAGCATGATTAATCTGAGTGTTTTCACACATAAAACTCCACTGGGATGGTCCAGAAGAGTATTTCCCAAGTCTGATTAATCATCAGCATTCCCTAGAGTCTTTGGTAAAATATTGATTCAAGCCCAACCTTAAAGCTGGTAATTTAGAATTTCAAGGGGATAGGCTTTAATTTATTAGGTCAGTGTAGGCTCAATCACCTGCATTTTTAGCACACACCCCAGGTGATTCTGATGTTGCTTCAAATTTGAGAAACACAGGTGTATAATATATTTCAGCACTTACATCATTATGTAACAATGTTTCGGTGGCCTGGGGTGCCCCAGCTTGGATGAGCCACCCTACCAGATAAGGATAGCCCCAACTTTAGGAGTGAGGTGGCTCATACTTTGCTGTGTCATCTTGTTCTGTGTAATTGTTGCTGACCTCTTACACTGTGTTTCATAACATCCCAACTCCACGAGTCAGAATTGAAAGACAAAAAAGCAAGAATGCCATTATTTCCAGTTCTACTACTAAATGTTGGTGTCATCCGCAACAAGTTACATCCACTTCATGCACCTCCCTTTCCTCATCCATAAAATGAAAAAGCTGAAGGAGAGCATGTCATTAAGAAAAATTATGCAAATACTAAAAAAAAGGCAAAAACATTACTGTGTACCTTCTCAGTGTCATACTAGAGCACTGTCTAACGGACCCACATTCTCTGTGGAAATACAATTTTGTTTGACTTACTATTTACTATTGACTATTATTGGGAGTCCCTGGGTAGCACAAATGGTTAAGTGCTCAGCTGCTAATTGAATTGACAGTTCAAATTCACCCAGAGGGACCTAGGTTGAAAAGCATGGCAATCTGCTTCCTAAAGGTCACAGCCTTGAAAAACCTTATGGAACAGTTCTCCTCTGCAACACATTACAACATATGGGGTCACCATGAGTTGGAATCGACACAATGGCAATTGGTTTGGTCTGGTTTATTATTAACTTGTAGAAAACTAATGAAGAGCCTGTAATTTTTGACCGGTAGAGATGCAAATGACATCTGTCTGGTAGAAAAGATAGTATATAAAATTGTAATTCAAGAAATAGAAGTAAAAGCATATACCTAGACGTATGGAGGGAAAGAGCAGAAATAATAGCTAAAAAAGAAGTTAGAAGTGATTAACTTGTAGAAACAGGACTGGGGCAAGAGAATGTTGTTTTTACCATAGGCATATATTACTCTGATAAGAATCTTAAAAAAAAAAAAAAACTTCAAGAAGTCTAAGAAATAAAAAGTAATGTTTAATTGATATGAAGAATTACTAATTGTAACTATTGTTCACGGGGCCCTGGGGGCAAACCTTCAGTCTCAAAGTCCATTTGTTCATGAGGGACAGGGTAGCATCTTCAGGCCCAAGCTTCAGGAAGCGGTTGTTGTCCCTCAGTAGTCCTAGTGCCATAAGAGATCAGCTCCAAACAAATTCACAGAGCAACATCCCTCTCAGCCATTTAACTTGCAATTGGTGGCATTTTGAGGGGGGGTGGGGTTCTAGGACTATTATTTCCCGCAGAATCCAAAAGGCCCCACTGCTGGTGCATCAGGCCCTCTACAGCACCCAGTTGCTAAAGATCAAAAAAAACCAAATTCTTCAAAGACTATTGGCCTGGAGCTCATACTACCCTAATACAAGAGCATTCAGTACAGCAAATGTGTGGAAACTAGGTGTGGACCAGGCAAAAAAAAAAAAAAAAAAAAAACACAAAAACTCACTGCTGCTGTCTTGAGTTGATTCTGATTTTTGATGACCAGTGCAGTAGTTTGCATCTTTA